CCCCGCCCCGTTCCCCCTTCCGTTGGACTCCAAGTCCCAGAGAGCCCCGCGCTGCCCAGGGTGGTGCTGTCTCCTCCTCCCAGCTCTTTGGGAAGCGCTGGGCGATTTTTAAATTTTGGCGGGGAGCGGGTGGCGGGGAGGGAAGTGACAGCTGTAGCGCCCCTCAGATAGCCAGTCCACCCCACCGGGCCCCCGGGATCCATAAGCACTGAGAATGTGGGGGACGCATAGGCCCGTTTCCATTAGAAACTGAGGCACGGGCTGTCAGGAACCTGTTTGAGGACTCCCCCAGCCGGACCGTGGTGCTGGGTGCGAACCCCAACACTGACCCCAATCCCAGGGCTCTAGGAAGTCCCCGGAACCCTCCTTTCTGCCTTGGGGGTGAGGGGCCGTGGGCGGGAAATCCCGAAGTCTGGCACTGTCCAGCCCGGGAAGCCCCCTGGCCCGCCAGGATCTTTTGGGCGTCACGGTCCCTCCCGGGGTGGGACATTTGGCGCCAGATTTTCAAAAATCCCAGTTTAACTGTTGCCGCTGGCTCCCGGTCCGGATCGCCGGCCCTGAATTCCGGAGCCTGGATCTTGGAGAGATGGGAGTCCGGAGCCTGCAGCCCGAAATCCAGGGTCTGGATCTGGGGAGAGGTTGCTGGATCCTGGAGCCAGGATCTTAGGGGACCTGGACGCCAGAGCTTGACTCCGGAATTCCAGGGTCAGGATTGGGGACCTGAATGGAGGAGACCAGATCTCGTAAAACTGGATTCTTGAGTCTTGATCCTGAATGACTGTAGCAGGTTTTGTTTTGTTTTCAGACAGGATCTCCCTATGTGGTCCAGGCTAATCTTGAACTCCCTGGGATCCTCCTACCTCAGCCTCGCAAGTGCTAGGATTGCACCTCTCTTCTGGATCTTGGTGGTCCAGATTGTGGAAGCTGGATCTTGAATTCTGGGTCTGGGTCTAAATGTTGGGGGCGGCTGGATTCCAAAACCTGGATCTGGTGGCCGGGGATGTAGCTCAGGGGCACAGCACCTGCCTGGCAAGCTCAAGGTCCTGAGTTGGATCCTCAGTACCCTCCCCCCGCCACACACACAAAAGAATAAAAAGCCTGCCAAAACCTGGATGCGGGGGCAGATTTCTGGATCCTGGAGAAATCTAGAGTATAGTATTAGAATTCAGGAACCTAGTGCTGGAACTCTCTAGTCCAAATGAAAGCTGATAAACCGGGCTTGGTGGTGGCCCATGCCTATAATTCTAGCACTTACGAGGAAGATCACTGTTAGTTCAAAGTCAGCCTCAAAAAAAAAAAAAAAAAAAAAAAAAGGAAAGAAAAAAAAAAAAAGAAAAGAAAAGGTAAACGCGCTGATAGCCAGGTTTTGTGGTGCACACCTTGCCTTTCATTCCAGCGCTCTGGGAGGCTGAGGGAGGAGGCTCTCAATTTGGAGCCCAGAGGGCCAGGGTTATAGCTCAATGGCACAGTGCCTGCCTGGGAAGCCCAAGGTCCTGAGTTTGATTCCTGGTACAAAAAAAAAAAAAAAAATCATCAATTTGGAGCCCAGCCTGGGCAATTTAGGGAGACACTGTCTTCAAAATAAAAAATAGCCTGG